TAGGACCTAGCAAACTAGAAGACTTCGGGTGACTGGAAAGGAATGTGTATATACAGGAAAGTTATCTAAAATCCTGCAACAGCTTTCTGTGTTGCTCTTCTCACTGCCTTAGAATTTAGAGACAAAATAATCATGATATTTTCTTCTTTTAGATAGCCTTCCTGGCTTCAACTCACAATCTGTCTAGGTTCTAGACAGTGGTTCTCAAGCCTATCAGATTCAATACTCTAGTCTTTAACCAACAATTTGAAATATTCCTTTTATTAAAAATCTCGTAATTTATTATTTATTGTCCTAATATAAGAATGTTGTTGGTCCCTGCCCACGCTCCTTAGTCCTTACCATTTTGGCACACACTGGGCCCACTCCATCTGCCAGCCTCTTCACTTGCTATCTGAAGGTATACATGTTGCATGCTGGAAAAGCCAGAAATAGTGCTCTCTGGGAAGAGGTCTCAACCTGTTAGCTCTCAACAGGGGCCAAGGGAGTGAAGGTGTTTACACACCAAGGTTGCCATTGGTGCATAAAAACCCTCCTGTTGCCATTGGTGTATAAATACCCTCACTCCCTTGGCCTGTGTTCCCCCATGGGATTAAGCTCCAGTTGCCCACAGTGGTTACTTCTTGACAGCAACCTATTACTGGCTTTTTCATCTTCCCTGCCTCAATACGCTACTCTGCATTGTGTATTAAACCTGTGCAAAAGTGTCTTGTGTTTATATATAAAGAAAAGTTGGTGTCTAGATTCAGATCCTTACATTGTGTATTAAACCTGTGTAAAAGTGTCTCGTGTTTATATGTAAAGAAAAGTTAGTGTCTAGATTCAGATAACTACAGGTTTGTTTGCTTTTCAGTGACATGAAAGTTCAGTGGGACATTTGAAAATTATACAGGGCATGAGGCAATTGTTCATTGTGCAGGGCAACTTTGCTTAAAGAGCAGTAGGCATATTTCCTTTGCCCATGTTTTCTTAATCCATATCCTGCTGGCTGAAATGTAGACGTGATGGCTGGAGCTGCAGCTGCCATCCTGGAGCAGGTAGACGAGAACCATACTACACCCTAGGGTGGCAGAGCAGTGAGTCGGAAGGAACCTATTCCCTGAGGACTTCAGGGAGTAAGGCTGCCCGTTAGCTCTGGATTCTCTCTGTCTCTGAACTTTCACATGAACAAGGTATAAACTACTCTGCTAAGCCAAAATTACTTTGGGTTTCTACTTCTTGAAACTAAATCTACCTAAAGCAATATCAAAAATAAACATTAAGCATTTCAAACTAGTTTTAAATGAAATGACTCTTATGTTTGAGTTAGAGAAAGAGGATATAGAACACAACTACATAATTTTGGGATAAATGACAGGCTGTAAGAGGAGAAAGCAATCATTTTCCTTTCATGTCATCTTACATACCAGTTTTTAAAGACAGATTAAACCTGATAGGGTTAAGAAAACTGTGTAGGCCAGGTGCGATGGCTCACACCTATAATCCCAGCACTCAGGTAAGGTGGGAAGACTGCTTGAGCCCAGAAGTTGGAGACCAGCCTGAGCAACATGGTGAGATCCTATCTACAAAAAGTTAAAAATTACTCAGTGTGGTGGCACATGCCTGTGGTCCCAGATACTCGGGTGGCTGAGGTGGGAGGATCGTTTGAACCTAGGGTGCGGGGTGCTGATCACGAGTCATGCTCATGCCACTGCACTCCAGCCTGAGCAACAGAGTGAGGAGACCCTGCCTCAAAAAAAAAAAAAAAGAAACTGTCTAGAATCAAGACAGATTATGGGATTGAGCCAGGAAAGCACTCTAGGAAGGAAAACAAAAACAAACACAGATCATTACACGGTTGTCTCTAAATTCTAAGACTGTGCCTTGGTAATAACCCATAATTCTTGCAATTATGACCAGACCAGCTAGTTCTATGAAGAACTATAAGGTGAGATGAGAGGAAATGGGGCACCTGAGTGGAGCTGGTCCATGGAAGATTCTTCTCAGCTCTAATGATGGGTAAAGTCAACTGGGTAAAGAGGTAAAAGATAAATAAACACAGTATTTGTCATTTTTTTTTAAAAAGTGGGTGGGGGTGGTTTCCAGGAAATAAATCCTTCTCAAAGGCTAAAAAAACGTTTAAAACATGGAGTTAGGGGGAGCATTTTATGCAACAGTAGTTTTCTGTTTCACATCACTGGTGATGGTTAAGAGTAGGCCCACAAGGGAAGACTGTGTTTCATTGGATGTGTATCCCAGTGTGTAGTACAGGGCCTAGCTTGCTCAGGAAATGCTGTTGAAAATATATCCCAGCGTGCTGAGGGCTGGTGGCCACTGTGGCTGAGTGAGCTGTGTGCTGTTTATTGACCTGCTTCCTAGTCCTGAATTCCTTTTGGAAGCTCCAGCAAGGAGGATGATACAGTCAGACAAAGGAGCAGATGCACCAGACAAGAAGGACATGAAACTTTCTACCGCCACCAATCCGCAGAATGGTATGTGCCACCAGGGTTCCTTTTCTGGACCAGAAAATAACAGCACCTCTGACCTGTGATCAAATGAATAGGCAGAAATTCTGACAGATTTACTGTGAATCCTATTAGGATCTGTACACTTTCGGTTGCATGACTGCCCTACCAGCGATAACTTTACGAGCAAAGTTGAAGACAGGAAGGAAATAAATTGACATGGTGGATTCAAAAACCTTTTTTCTTTTACCCAACAATATTTTATGTAAAACTTAGAATTTCTTAAGTTGTTCACATTTAAAATATCACTCCAGCACTATGAAAATACTGTAAAAAAATAGAATATTTACTGAAATCTGTTTAGACCCTTTAATCAGGAGAATACTGAGATTTGCATTAAAGATCTATTGGGAGTTAGCATTTTTCAGTATCACTCTCAATAAGATTTTTTTTTTTTTTTTTTTTTGAGACGGAATTTCGTTGTTGTTACCCCGGCTGGAGTGCAATGGCACGATCTCGGCTCACCGCAACCTCCGCCTTCTGGGTTCAAGAAATTCTCCTGCCTCAACCTCCTGAGTAGCTGGGACTAGAGGCGCGCACCACCATGCCCAGCTAATTTTTGTATTTTTAGTAGAGATGGGGTTTCACCTTGTTGACCAGGATGGTCTCGATCTCTTGACCTCGTGATCCACCTGCCTCGGCCTCCCAAAGTGCTGGGATTATAGGCGTGAGCCACCGCGTCCGGCCTCAATAAGAATTTTTTGAGAGGAATAAATAACTCTTATGTTTGAGTTAGAGAAAGAGGATACAGAATACAACTAGATAATTTTGGGATAAAAGACAGGCTGGTAAGATGGGGGAGGGGAAAGCAATCGTTTTCCTTTCATGATATCTTACTTCTGCACATCATGATCCATTATTTTACCTAATATTAAGAACGACACGATGACAAAGCTAGCACCTTCTCATCTTGGGCAAAGAAACTGGGTTTTGGATAGTTACGTGGCTTTGTAACGTTCACAGAGAGATGGAACAGGGCTTGAAGCCAGATCTTTTGGCCTGAAATCCTGTGTCATTTCCACTCCTCGTGAGAGCCCACGGCATGCCTTTCCGAGTTGCCTTTCACAGTTACACCCACACCAGCCACCCCATCTCTGCTCTCTTCCTTTCCTAGGCCTCTCCCAGATCCTGAGGCTTGTGCTGCAAGAGCTGAGTCTGTTCTACAGCCGGGACGTGAATGGAGTATGTCTCTTGTACGATCTCCTCCACTCGCCATGGCTGCAGGCTCTGCTAAAGGTAGTGCTGCTTTGCTTGGAAGCCTTTGCTGAAGGGATTGTGGGGAGTGTGCAGAAAACCATTGAATGGACCATCAGTCCATTCAGGCTGAATAGCTGAATAGCTTATAAACAACAGAAATTGATATCTCACAGTTCAGGAGGCCAGAAAGTACAAAATTAAGTCGCCAGCAGATTCAGTGTCTGTTGAGGGCTCCCTCTCTGGTTTATAAATAGTAACTGTGTTCTCACATAGTGGCAAGGGCTAGCCAGCTCTCTAAGGTTTCTTGTATAAGGACATTAATTCCATATTCATGAGGGCAGAACCCTGATGACCTATCACCTCCTAAAGACCTTACTTTTTTTTTTTTTTTTTTTTTTTTTAAAGACACAGTCTCTCTCTTTTGCCCAGGCTGGAGTACAGCGGCCTGATCTTGAGGGAAGGTATTCTCCTTCCGGGTTCACCAGGGGACGTAGTTTTAAGGGCAAAAATTTCCCAGCTTCATGCCCCGCTCCCATCTCTCTCCATCTGGGAGATTTAACTGTTTATGTTTAAATTTCACCGGGCGCGGGAAGAAACTAAGAGTCAATGACCCCAGCGGAAGTTTAAAGGAACTCCTTTCATTGGCCAGAGGAACTTGGGAAGGTGGAAATTTCTCCTACGATAAATTCCCCTGCTCTTTCACCCATGCCGGATTTCCAGCTCTCTGGAATCCCCTCCCATATGGTGGGAGCTTCCTTACCCCTCTGGGATTTTCCCTCTGGAATCCCCTTCCACACTCTTCGTGGAAGTTTTCTCCTTTTCCTTCTCTTTTTACTACCTAAATAAAATCACCTTTCTGCAACACTTCCTGGGTCTGATACTTTTACGAGCATACAGTGCACCTGCAGTGGTCCCATCGCTTATTCTTTAAGAGATTGGAGGGCTGGGCGCCGTGGCTCAAGCCTGTAATCCCAGCACTTTGGGAGGCCGAGGCGGGTGGATCACGAGCTCAAGAGATAGAGACCATCCTGGTCAAAATGGTGAAACCCCGTCTCTACTAAAGATACAAAAAATTAGCTGGGCATGGTGGCGCATGCCTGTAATCCCAGCTACTCAGGAAGCTGAGGCTGGAGAATTGCCTGAACCCAGGAGGCGGAGGTTGCAGTGAGCTGAGATCACGCCATTGCACTCCAGCCTGGGTAACAAGAGCGAAACTCCATCTCAAAAAAAAAAAAAAAAAAAGGAGGCCAAAAACCCACAGCATTCTCTCCGGGAAGCCACTGCAAACTCTGCCTCCTGGGTTCAAGTGCTTCTCCTGAGTAGCTGGGATTACAGGAAAGTGCCACCACGTCTGGCTGATTTTTGTTTTGTTTTTTTTTTGGAGATGGAGTCTTACTTTCTCACCCAGGATGGAGTGCAGTGGCGCCATCTCGGCTCACTACAACCTCCGCCTCCTGGGTTAAGCCAATTCTCCTGCCTCAGCCTCCCGAGTAGCTGAAATTACAGGCGTGCGCCACCACACCCAGCTGATTTTTGTATTTTTGGTAGAGACGGGATTTCACCATGTTGGCCAGGCTGGTCTCGAACTCTTGACCTCAGGTGATCCCCCCGCCTCGGCCTGCCAAAGTACTAAGATTACAGGCATGGGCCACCGTGCCCAGACTAATTTTCGTATTTTTAGTAGAGACAGCATTTCACCATGTTGGCCAGGCTAGTCTGGAACGCCTGACCTCAAGTGATCCACCCACCTGGGCCTCCTAAAGTGCTGGGATTACAGGCATGAGCCTCTGCTCCCTGCCAGCCTTACCGTTTAATATCATCACCTTGGGAGTGAGGATTTTGACTTATGAATTTTGAAAGTACACATTCACATCATAGCAACTACTTATTCAATGGTGTCGTTTATCAACTGGCAGGAAATTTCAACTTGGAAAAGGTTCTTAGAAGATAACTCTCAGAGAAGAGCTACACAAACTTCTTAGCTTAGGAAGGAATTAACTTAGGTAAAGAATATGGTAGCCCCTTCCTTTTCTCCCCACAGCTCTTTTTCTTCCAGAGCCCCACTGGAATCACAAAACGGCCACCAAATGGTCATTGGCAACACTTTATCAACTGGCTACAACCGTTTGTCCTTGCAACAACTCTGAATAAATAAAAATACTTGAAAAAAATATTCCTGTTTGTTAAAGTTAGAAAGCAAGCTATCTACAATTCTGTTTAGGCACCCTAAAATTTCTTATTCTAAAGTTTCTTCTGGTTGAGTGTGATAGCTCACACCTGTAATCCCAACATTTTGGAAGGCTGAGGTGGGTGGATCACCTGAGGTCAGGAGTTCGAGATCAGCCTGGACAACATGGTGAAACCCTGTCTCTATTAAAAGTACAAAAAATTGGCCAGATGCAGTGGCATGCACTTGTAATCCCAGCTACTTGGAAAGCTGAGGCATGAGAATCACTTGAACTGGGGAGGCAGAGGTTGCAGTGAACCGAGATTGAGCCACTGCACTCCAGCCTGGGCATCAGAGAGAGGCTCCATTTCAAAATAAATAAAATAGAATAAATAAAGTTTATTATTTTTTAATTTGGCTAAAATTCCATGCACTATACAATAGCATCTAGTAGATACTAGAAAAATAGCATCTACTATCTAGTAGATGCTACTACTGTAATTTTGTTGTTCTGAACAAATATTATTAAGGAAGATCCTTTTGAAGTTGTTTTTTTGGGATGTGGGTATTTCCTTCACTTAAGTGTGAAATGTGGTCTGTCTTATAATGCGTGTTAATATTATACAATAAAAGTGGCAACATCTTTGGCATGAAAAAGAAGTAGTACTCACAGCACTTGTTTTAAAACGCCTGATTTCTATCAGGCATTGTCCCACAGGATCAGCTAAGACAGGAGTTTCAATTTCATGGTGGGCATTGCCCTTGCTCACCACTTCTAGGCCTTTAGTTAGTCATCCAATCAGCCTTCATCACTTCCAGGTAAACCTGAGTGTGAGCCCTGAGATAGAGCAGGGAAGCAGCATCATCACAGATCTGGATAGAAAAGACTGGGGCTGAGCTGGCCCCTTGGGTTTTATTTATTTATTCATCTGTAAGATAAACTCAATTCCTAACATAAGATCAAGGGCTGCAATGCAGAGCTAGGCAGGCTTTGGTGTCCTTAACCCAACCCTAGATCTTGGTATGGAAAAAAATTCCCAAGGGTCTGCAGAGATGAAGTTAGAATGTTAAAAAATTAACTCGTATTGGAGAATTAGGAGATGAATGGGAAACAGCCCCAAAGAGCATGCCCACCTCTTATTCAGAATCTTCAGTGGCCCTGAGCCACACAGCACGACCAACATAAGGTCCTCACAGATGTCTGGTCCCAAAGGGCCCCTCCTTTAAGCTGCCCCTTTACACGTCATCTATGAATCCCCATTGGTTTCAGTCTCAGATATCCTACCCTCACTCTGTTTAACAGGAGTAAAAGTTTGAATTTCTTTTTATTACTGAAATTCTTGGGGAAGATCAATTTCCCAGTGGCACCCAACTATTAAGCCTTTGAAGCACAAGGCCACCAAATTCAAGTTCATTTCTCTTTGGCAACTGGAGACACAACTTACTAAACACCAACACACACCATGCTGTTCAGCTATTGGTGCAGTGGTCTGGGCTGTTTCTTCCCTTTGAGAGTCTTAAATCCAAAATGGTAGTAGTTGTATTGTCAATGTCAATTTCCCCTCCATTTCCTTCTGCAGATTTATGACTGCCTTCAGGAATTTAAAGAAAAGAAACTAGTTCCTGCCACACCCCATGCACAGGCGTTATCCTATGAGGTAAGGAGATTTTATTCCACAGCCTGGCAGAGCTCTGATGTGGTGCCATTTAACCTGCACTGCTAGTTCAAATGAATGAAAGATTCTAAGGAAAAGTTGTATTGATGATTATGCATCTAATAAATGTTTTTCATTGAAGTTTATTATAAGGAAGAACATTAGCTGGATATCTCCCCAAATTAAAACACTCCCTGCCCGGCATCTACATCATTTTTAGCATGTGTGCATTTCTTTCTTTTTTCCTAAACCTTGTACTCTATTTGGCCTACATAAACAGGGTAATTTTATAGTAATAATTCTCAGATTTATATCTTGATCCTGGAGATGTCCCCAAATTCCAGTTTCAAATATCCAACTGCCTCTTCTCCATCTTACTCTGGTGTCTAATGGACTCTTCCAAGTTCACAGGTTCTAAACTGAGCTCCCGATCTTCCCCATCCACCAGTCACCCCCACCCATTCTTCTGGCAGCCTTTTCTGTCTCAGAAATGAAACCTCTGTTCTTGCAGTGCTCAGCTCAGAATCTTTGGGGTCATTCTGACTCTCTCTCTCTCTCTCTGATACCTCATACCTAATCAGATAGCAAATCCTCTCAGCTCTACTTTCAAAATATATCCAGGATCTTACCACCCCATACCATCATCATCATCTCTTACATAAACAATCATAAAATAGCCACCTACCTGGTCTCTTGTGTCCACTCTTGCTCCTGTATTGTCTACTCTCAATTCAGCAACCAAAGATATCCCCTTTGAAAGCAAGTCAGATCATGTCACTTCTTCACTAACACTCAAACCCTTCAAATGACTTCCCGTCTGAGAGTAAACACCAAAGTTCTTTTTTTTTTGGAAACACAGTCTTACTCTGTTGCCCAGGCTGGAGTGTAGTGGCATGATCTCAGCTCACTGCAACCTCTGCCTCCTGGGTTTAAGCAATTCTCATGCCTCAGCCTCCTGAGTAGCTAGGACTACAGGAACCCATTACACTTGGCTAATTTTTGTATTTTTGGTAGAGACGGGGTTTGACCATGTTGGCCAGGCTGGTCTCGAACTCCTGACCCTAAGCTATCCACCTGCCTTGGCCTCCCAAAGTGCTGGGGTTACAGGCATGAGCCACTGTGCCTATGTTCTTACATAGCTGAACACAGTCAAGCTGTGTGACTTCACACTCAGTGCTTTCCCCACTCACTCTGCTCCAGCCACATTGACCCCTTGTTGTTTAAATTCATCAGGCCAGGTGTGGTAGCTCGTGCCTATAATCCTAGCATTTTGGGAGCCTGACGCAGGCGAATCACTTGAGCCCTGGAGTTTAAGACCAGCCTGGCCATCATAGTGAAACCCCATCTCTACTAAAAATACATATACACAAAAAGAATTAGCTGGGTTTGGTGGCGCATGCCTGTAATCCCAGAGGCTGAGGCATGAGAATTGCTGAACCCAGGAGTGGTGGTTGCAGTGAGCTAAGATTGTACCACTGCACTCCAGTTTGGGTAACAGAGGGAGACTTTGTCTCTCACACACACACACACACACACACACACACACACACACAAAACAAAAAAACAAAAAAAAAAAAACAAGCTTCTGCCTGGGGAGTTTCCCTGTATCTGCACTGCTCCTGCCCAGGTATCCACATGATGTGTCCCTCATCTCCTTCCAGTCTCCACTCAAATGCCACCTTTTCGGTGAGGCTTTTCCTGGTCACCTATCAAAAACTATGCTCCTCTTAGCACTCCCGAGGCACATTCCCTGCTTTATTTTTCTTAACACTTGTCACCATCAAACAAAATGATTGTACTCACATATTTCATTTGTTCTGTTTCCTCCCTAGAACGTAAACTCCAGGAGAATGGAGATTTTTGTCTACCTGTTTACTGCTGTTTTCACATCACCTAAAACAGTGTCCAGCACACAGTAGTGTTCAATAAATATTTGTTGAATGAATGAATAAATATCCATTTTATTATTTATTGCCCAAGCCATATTAAGAGAAATAGCAAAAAAGAAAGAACTCTACTCTCAATTCCAGTAATCAACAACTCAAATTGTTCTCAGCTTTTCCGCAGGAAAAGCACACATATAATATTTTATTCAGTTGTAATCCCAGTGAGTGGAGAGAAAGCTTTGTAAATGCTTGTTTTCCTTTGACTGCATGTAATGGGGTTGACTGAAGTCTTGAAAGGTCTTATGTCCTCTGAAAGCAGATCTACTCCGAAACCACAGTAGAGAGATCAGAATTATTTTCTGCTTAGCATCTTTTATTGTAACAATCATTAAAATTGCTAATCAATTGATACTCTGAAATAGAAATTATTATTCTCATTTTCTATGTGAAGAATGGAGCATCCCATGGGATTAAGCTATTTGAGTTCCCCAGGTACATTCCTAGAGAAACTCATGTAGCTTCACAGGCCAGCAAAGCATTGACATCATCAAACAGCTATTATGCTTTAAGAGACACAGGAGGAAAAGTGCCTTGGTTCATATGCTATTACAAAATTGGTACATCCTCCATCCCTATGTGCCAGGATGGGGCATTGGGCTTAGATCCATCTCAGATATTGAATTCTATTTGCCATAGTAAAGTAGCAATTTTAATGAATAAAGAAGGATGGTATGTTCTGGCTTTAAAGATGAAAAAGAAGGCTCCAATAATAGCTTTTAAAAGGTCAATATCATGTTAGTCAGTATATATGTTATCGAACCTGGGTGAGGTTAAGTAGGTGATAAAGATTTTTAAAAAATTTTTATAATGTATGCTTTTCCATGAACCAGGTAGTAGAGTTGTTACGTGAAACTCCTTCTTCCTCTGAGATCCAAGAGCTGAGACAAACACTCCAGGCTCCACACTTTAAGGCAAGTTCCTGCTAAGATAGAAAAGATGTCTTCATCTGGCACATAGACAAAGTTGGGAAGGAGAAATGTATGTGATGGAAAGTGTTCTCTCTGAATAGTTGTTCTATTACTGTACATGAGTGACCAACAGATTGTACTTAAATTTATGTGGGACTCAGATGTGACTAGCTCGGTGTTGTCAATCATGTAGCCAAGCCTGCTGTGTTTATGAGGAGGCATCCAGAACTTTCCACGCTGCCTTGTTTCCTCTACAAAGCTATTGCCCATCTAAAAATCTTGGGTAGCAAACAGGGAACCTTCTAGTTATAGAGGAATAGCTCCATGCTTCCTTTCCAAAGTGGGATTATTTTAAGTTTTAGGTAATGTTTGTAAGGTATTTGGAATACACAGTATAATGATGATTGTCTGTGTGAGAGGGTTTATGAGGAACATTTGATTGTAGAACAGAAACCTATCTCTTGGTACCTACAGATTTGAGACCAACTTATCAATAAATTAGAACTTTAAGAGAATGTTTGCATTTGGAGTGCTGAAATTTAGTAGTCAAAAATTATAGTTCACAACATAACCATCAGTCATCCAATATCCTCAACAGCACACACTACTTAGAGAATTTTCTGCGTTCCAGCTAAATTCTGTCTACCAGTGTCAGTCAGGGCTGCAGAAGGACAGCTTCCCCACCCCATGGAATGAAAAACGTAACCTAGTGGGCTAGTCAAAGAAACTCTTTGATTATATCCTAAACTTCTCATTGTGGACCACATGAACCCTTGGGTGTTACTGACAAATTAAATCAGCAAGATATTTTGATGACTGCCCTTCATTCTGCCTTAATTAGGGAAACTGTTACAAAAGTTATTTTGTAGTTCAAACTCCATAGGAGCACCACAGATTACACAGGCTGCCAGGAAATAGGAATGTTGTGTCATAATACATTTTAGCAGAAATGAAAGAGTGTGTTGTGCATGGCTTTACCTCTCTGCACCTTATTTCCTTATCTACAAATTGAGGACAATTAGTGTACCTGCCTCATAGAATTATTGTGAAGATTGAATTCATTCCTGTAAGACGCTTTGCGCTGTGTCTGGCATGGCTGTATCGATGTTTGTTGTGGTTGTGTGTATTAGACAGTATTATGTCACTGTCTTCTAGAAGGGTGTGACTCATGTGTGACATGTGCTCACCTTTTCTTTCCCTGTGCCCAGGCCTTGCTCAGTGCCCATGACACGATAGCTCAGAAAGATTTTGAACCCCTTCTCCCTCCACTGCCAGACAATATCCCTGAGAGTGAGGAAGCAATGAGGATTGTTTGTTTGGTAAAAAACCAACAGCCCCTGGTAAGGAAATCACTTTTTATCTTTCTATTTAGGATATGCCTATGTTAACTGTGAACCAAATTATATCTGTGGTTACTTGGGCAGTAGTCTTGCCTGCGATCACACATACAGTGAAAATAACGGCTGTAAACTCCACTAGTCTTGCCTGTGGTTTCAAATATGTTACATGTCGTAGTGTTTTTGCTAAGGAAAAATTTTGGCTGTTTTTGTTTTGTAAAAAGCAAGATGAGATTTATAAGACATTTTTGTGAGAAATAAGACATATCTGTTTTATTTTAATATTTGGCTTTCTGACCTATGCATGTATTTCACTCAATTCCAATGCATTTGCCTGTTTCCTCATGTATTAAAGAGAAGCTGAGGAAGGCATTAATTTGATTTCCTAAGAACAGTTTCTCTAATTAGGTTTTAATTGAGGGGGGTTTCTGTATCTTTGGAAGAATCTAAATATTATTTTATGTCTATGTAGTTGGAATGACACCACAGGAATCCAAAGTTGAATGGCCTTTCCTTTTTGATGGCATGCTATAGCTGACAGGCCACAGGGTACTGTGTGGCCCCTCTGTCCCTGGTTGGCATGAATAGCCTCATTTGAAAGACCAGAGCTGCATTGATTGAGGGAAGCCACCTGAAAAATGGTCACATTTGGTAATAGAGGGATCTCGTCTATTCTCTCTTCAGGGAGCCACCATCAAGCGCCATGAGATGACAGGGGACATCTTGGTGGCCAGGGTCATCCATGGTGGGCTGGCGGAGAGGAGTGGTAAGCTGGAGCAGCAGGGATCAAGTGTCACCAGAAAAACAGGAAACCCTTGACTATTCAGGCTTCTTTCCAGAGAGATCCCTCTTTCTTAACTTGGGTCAGGGCTTTAGTAAGTTCCGTTGCTTGGATAGAGCAGTAAAGAAAGAAGAAACATATTCCAGAGAAATGTTACTCCTCTCCACTGAGTCCTTCCCATTCTAGGTACCACATTAAAGTCTCTCACTTTACATTCTCAAGGCAACCTCAAAGGTAAGTATTATAATGTCATTTTATAGATGAGGAAACTGAGGCTCAAAAAGATGATGAAACTGACTTGCTCAAAGTTATACCATTTGAGTCAGAATTCAAGTCCAGATCTGCCTGGGTCTATTTCCAACTTTTTCTCTGCACTTTGTCCTACTTTCAGAAAGGCATAGCTCTTCCCCATCTTGAAATGTCTTTTACTCACACTTTCTACCAATTAACCAGATTTTTATCCTTTCACTGCTGTCCTTTTTAAAACTTTTTTTTTTTTTGAGATAGGGTCTCACTCTGTCACTCAGCCTGGAGTGCAGTGGTATAATCATGACTCACTGCAGCCTCAACCTCCTGGGCTCAAGTGATCCACCTCAGCCCTCCCAGTAGCTGGGACCACTGGTGCACATTACCATGTCCAGCCAAATTTTCAGTTTTTTGTTGAGATAAGGTCTTGCTATGTTACCCAGGCTGGTCTCAACCTCCTGGGCTCAAGCGGTCCTCCTGCCTTGGCCTCCCAGAGTGTTGGGATCACAGGTGTGAGCCACCACACCTGGCTATTGTTGTGCTTCTCCAATGAGTGGTTCTATACCTGATGTACATTCTCAGTACCCTGAACCTCTAAACCTGGCACATGCTTTATATCTCAACATTCTCATTGTAAATAGCAAGGATTTCATAGTTGCTAAGTTCACTGTCCCTTTCTTCCTCCTCAGGTTTTTTTTTTTTTTTTTTTTTTTGTGACAGAGTCTCAATCTGTCACCTAGGCTGGAGTGCAGTGGGGCAATCACACTGCTCATTGCAACCTCCACCTCCTGGGTTCAAGCAATTTCCCTGCCTCAGTCTCCCAAGGAGCTGGGATTACAGGCATGTACCACCACTCCCACGATAATTTTTTTTTTTTTGTATTTTTAATAGAGTCAGGGTTTCGTCATGTTGGCCAGTTTGGCCTCCAACTTCTGGCCTCA